GAAGGACCTTACCATATCCACGGGGAAACGAGTACTAAAGCCTACCACCTCAACGCCTAAGTGGAGAACCACTACCTCGACCATGGAACACTACAAAGATGAAACAATATTACAGCTAAGTCCTAGATGAGCGTACAGGCTTAGCAGTCGACGTACCCTCTCCAACAGACGACAGGGATTGCTCGACCATGGAAACATGTTGAGGTACGAACATGGCCTCTAACTAGTAACAAAAGGTGAGTTTTCACTCATTGGTCGAACATAACCTTAGTAAGACGGGGACACCTCGACCGAGCTCCATCGTCAAAGTACCTTATAGGAAAAACACCCAGCTCGCGATGGGTATTTCACGCCACAAAGTCAAGGCCCCGATCACGATCTTGGCCTCATCCATGCGAACCCAAAATTCGCCTCCTCGACACATCTCCATGTGTGTCGACCAAAACTATGGTCGAGCATAAATTTCCACTTGTCATATTTCGATGCCGAAATAAGCACGTCAAACACAATGACAGAATATCATAATGCAAAATAAAAGAGAAAATAAAGGCTGGTGTTATCTGTACAATATCAAAGTGGAGCGCGCAAGCCCAAACTAGTTAGATATACAAAAACGTGCAGAGCCTCTTGTCCAAAACAACAAAAATTTGGCACGTAAATCGAGCAAACATACATGCACACAGACCTAAAGCTCCTAATCCCTGCCATCCTCCAGGATGTGTATCCCTCGAAATGCCTACTAATGTCTTGTTTATATAGAGAGGAGTGAGGAGACAAGATAAAATAGCCTTGATTAGGTGTTTGAAAGCCATGAATGAAAATTTGTAATGTTGGCCAAAAACATGGAATCTTGTCCTTTTTTTTGAAATTTGAATGTATGTGGACATTTTGGCTCCTTCGAATTCCATATAGTTCATGCCCTTCGATTAGACTTCTTGTATAGCCTTAGAATGGGTCCTTTGAATGGACCATTTGTGTACCCTTTGAATGGGCCTTTGGTTACCTCCTCGAATTGACCATTTGTGTACCTTTCGACTGGCTCATGTTCTCATCACTGGGGCTTCTTCGTTTGAACCCCTATTCAGCTAGCCCTAACGTAAACTCTTTCCTGGCCAATGAATGTGCTTGTTCACATTGGCTTGAAACTGGCAGTATGTTGTCTTTTGGGCCAGCAGTCCTCTTTGAATATTTTTCTTTCATTTTAGCTAGCAATATCCTTCATTTTGAACCAATGTGTGTGCTCTTTTGAAGGGAACCTATGCATCACTTGTATACATCACTTGCCATTCCTTCGAATGGGACAATAAAGTAAATCCTTCGAATAGAACACCCATGTATGCCCCTATAAATCCATCAATACATGTCTTGCAAATAGGGCAAATATATGTCCTTCGAATGGACCATGTGCCTGTCCTTCGAATGCGCCAGTACTAGGTGTCAAAATGTGGAACACTGTGTGTTAAATATTTTGGAGTTGGAGTCAAGGCTAGCATGAGGGAAGCAAACTACTTAATGAATCAAAGAACATATGAAAGAAAACTACTACTTTATGGGTGCTGGCATGAAGGGAAACCATTGCCTTGCGCATTGGAGACAACCCTAGAGGAAGTCATTTTCTTGTGGGTCGAAAGCAAACACAGAGGCAAGTTGAAGGGGCCTTGGCCTTGTGGATCGAAGGCAAGTCTAAGCTTTTTGCCTGGTGAGTTAAAGGCATGCTGATGGGTCTTTGCCTTGTGAAACCAAGGCAAGCATGAAGAGGCATACGTGTGCTGGTGACAAGCTAAGGGGCCTTTTTCCCAGTGGGAGCTTTGTGAATTGAAGGCCAGTTAAAAGTAGTCTTTTGCCTTGTGGATCAAAGGCGAGTCTGAAGAAGCTTTTTCCATTGTGAATCCAAAGCAAGCATGAGGAATCCTTTTGCCCTAAATGTAGCTGGCATGCAGGAACCCACTGTTTTTTGAATCCAAACACACTTGTTGAGGATTCTTGCTTTGTGCGTTGAAGGCACGCACAAAGGGATTATTTGCCTAGTCGAAGCAGGAATCGAGCTGGCTCCAAAGAAATCAAACGCCCAAACGAAGCAGGAATTAAGCTTGCATGCATGGAAATTAAATGCCTAAACGAAGCAGGAATCAAGCTTGCTCCACAAAAATCAAATGCCCAATCGATGCAGGAATCCAGCTTGCATGCAGGTAGCCATTGCATTGTGAATCAAGCCAGCATGTAAAGCCAATGGTGCAATCGAAGGAGCACTAATAGGAGGCCCTTCCCTTTTGGATCGAAGGAGGCTATTTCAAAGGAAACAAATGCCCAGTCAAAGCTGGTATACAACAAACAAGCAAAAGACCAAGGCTTCAATCAAAGCTTGGAAATTTGAGGCAAGCTTGGAGGAGGTTAGGTGCTCAATCGAAGCCTTTCAAAATGCCAATCGAAAGACACCTTGTTCATGCCAATAGAAAGACCTTGTTTATCTTCAAAAATTTTATTTTTCTTTAATCAAGTGTTTGTAATCACCTATGTAAGAGAAAAATCTTGGGAAAATATGGGAGGGAAAATTTTGGGGTACAACACCAGAGAATGGAAGGCACCGATGATGCTATTACTTGGGCTTTGTTTCGTAAGTAATTCCTAGTGAAGTATTACCTAGAGGATGTCCGTGGGAAGAATGAGATTGATTATCTGGAACTGAAACAAGGGGATTTATCAGTAACTGAGTATGCTGCCAAATTTGTGGAGTTGGCAAACTTTTATCCTCACTACGCAGAGGAGACATCTGAATTTTCTAAGTGCGTCAAGTTTGAGAATGGATTAGGTTTTGAGATCAAGAAAGCAATTGGGTATCAGCGAATCCGCAAATTCTCGAATTTGGTGAAAAGCTGCAAAATCTATGAGGAGGATAGTAAGGCTCACTACAAGATTGTCACTGAGAAGAGAAGCAAGCAGCAATAAAATCATGGAAAGCCTTATAATGCTCTAAATATCAGAGGTAAACAAAGGTTTACTGATGGCAGAAGAACCGGTGGGGGAGGTTCTCCTTCTCACATTGTGTGTTACAAATGTGGGAATCCAGGATATCAAAGTAATGCATGTATCAGGGAAGTGAAAAGGTGTTTTCATTGCGGTACGACTGGGCATGAGAAGGCTGATTGTAGACACAAGGTTGTGGTATGCTTCAACTGTGGCGAAGAAGGACATATTGGTAATCAATGCCAGAAACTAAAGAAAGCTCAATCTGGTGGAAAGGTTTTTTCTTTAGCCAGAACGCATACATATAATGGAAATTGGTTGATCAGAGGTATTTGTTTCATTAATGGTACTCCTTTAATTACTATTATTGATATTGGTGCTACACATTGTTTTATTGCTGCTGATTGTGCTAATAAGTTGAGTCTTGAGTTATCCTCTATTGTAGAGATAAAAAATGTAGTGGGGTAAATTAGAGATCGAGCTATTAATTAACTCGACTCATAAAAGCAAGAGTCGCCACCGCGCTTTATTATTTCCAAGGGAAAAGGGAAAAGAGCGAAATAAAACCCATAAATATGCAATATAAAGTAATACTTAAAAGTAATGAAAATACAATGCATTTTTGAAAAAGATATAGAGTTTGGAGGTTGGTTATGCAATGGGAAGGTATTAGCACCCAATGCATCTGCGGTACTCCGCATGAACCTTTTGAAATATCTGTTTTGGATTTAAAATTGTTTGTTTGATTAAAATGGTTTGTTTGGCTAAAAATGGGTGTGGACGAGATTTTTGAAGATACGACAACCTAGTGTCGAAGTTTTGACTTAAAAGGTGTGAGTTTTAAAATTAAGTCTTTTAGGAAAATTGACTTAAGTTTAGCAAAATAGTAAAACAAAAATGAATGAAGGGATTCGCACAATCGGATAAGATGTATTTGATGACATGAAGTCAACAAAGTTATAAACATTTCCGTCGGAATTGAGATGGACGAACGATATAAAGATTAAACGATCGAGAATAAAGTTAATTAAAATGATAATTGAACAATTAAATAAATAACGAAAATTAAATTATACTAGCATGTATTTTCAAACAAAAATTAAATAAAAGATTAGTTTATAAGCATGTATTGGTATAATTAGTAAACATCAAAATTAAATAAAGACTAATTTGATAATATGTTTTGGATAAACAAGAATTAAATAAAAGATGATTTATTAGCATGTTTTTGAATAAATAAATAGAAAAAATTAAATAAAGACTAAATTATATAAAAAAAAGCATGTATTTTGAATAATTATAAATGGCAAAAATCAAATAAGAGATTAATTTAATAACATGTATTTAAAAAAATAACAAAAATCGAATAAAATATTAATTATAATAGGATGCTTTTTTTGTATTTTTATAATAAGGGGTAAATAATAGAAATCTAAACTAATGTTGTTATCATATATTTTTACTAGAATTTAGGGAAAAGGCTAACAAAACTAAAAACAAAATAAAAAGGCCCAACAAGGGTAGGACCTAGGTCCTTTAAGTTGCTGCAAACATGCCTTGCCAATTGAACTATATTGTTTTTTCTGTTATTATTATGATTTAATTAAAATATAAGGTGAATACGGTTGATTGATTGGGCCAATAGGCCCAAAGGGCCTGACCTGATATGGGAAAGAAACAAGGGGAAAAAATTGTAACCCTAACAAATCAAGCGCCCCTGCTGGTCTGTTGTTTGTTCATTGGGAAGGAGAAAATAAGATTAAACATTATTGATGTCAATAAACTCTATTTTCTATGGGTTTTTATCCTGAAACAAAATTCAAAATTTTCTCTTCCCTAAATATTCTCTTTCTTCCCTTCAATTTGCTTTCTCTTTCTTCCTCCTGCTCCTTGATGATGTCATAACAATTCCATCCAACCTCGGATGACAACTGCCTAAGCAAGCAATATTTGTGGCCCGTTTGAAGCCTCAACACCTTAAGGGCATCAGGTACCACTATCCTTTTGATCTTGTCATATGGTGGAGGAATTCCCTCTTATACTTTTAACCTAGCAAGTGAAGCCTCTCCACGCTTGGTCTTGTGTGGAATCATTCCATGAACAGTGCGCCAAAAGATCTTGGATGGAGCATGAAAGTGAATAGGACGATGAGAGGTTTTGGTGTTCATACACTTACGAAGGAACCACGTGTATTTCATCTTCTGTCTAACGAGACCGCTAGAGATGAAAATTTCTCCGCATATAACGAGAAATACCTTCTGACCCTTGAGAAGCTCCTTCAGGACGATTGAGGCAAGGCGGCCGAGCATGTGGTGACGAGTGTCAACCACCACTCTCTTTGCGCAGGCTCCTGATCTAGACACCGTTTTTCTCTTTCAGGCGGCTTGTTTCTTCTACATATCTCACTCCGTCTTTGACAAATAAACTGGCAGTAACATCTTCGCTGGTTATTTCCATATAAACCAATGTGCTTTGAACTAGAAATTGTCCTTGCAGACCAAGTGTTCAGGAGCTACCCGTTGAGCTTTCATTGTAACTATGAATTCACCACTAGATTTTAGCGCGAGAACTCCATAGCTCAGCAGATAAAACAAAGGAGGAGGAGCAACAATTTAAAGGAAGGGAGGTTGGTATTACTACATTTTTAAGTTTTCGATCTGGTTTCTGGGTTTTCGATTTCATCGCATGTTATTGTTCTGTTTTTTTTGTGACAGAAGAAGAAAACATGGTTAGCTAGAGTGTGTTGAATGGTTTAAGGTTGATATGAAGGGATGGTGATGTGAGATTGACGGTTAGTGATTACGAACGGTTGTATGGAGGTGATTGTCATTGGGAGATGTATAGTATTGGATCAAACTGGAATAAAGATAGAATAGCTAGTGGCGGTTTGGCAGCGGAGATGCGGCGGAGATGTGGTGGTGTTAGTGACTACTTCACGGTGATAGTTTCTGGTATGGCTCTGGTGGGATTTGATGCATCTTATTTATTTACATTTTTGGCTTCAATTTTGATTGTGTTGTGAGTTGTTTGAATGTGGTTGAGGGAGAAATTTATCATGTATATTTTGACTAGTTTTGTGAGGATAGGATTTTTTTGTTTATATGGTTTTTTATGACTGCTAACAGGTTTGTTGAAAGAGGTTATTTGTATGGATCGGTTGTTATTGTTGTTGAGTTGTTATTGCGTGAATCATGTGGTTCTGTTTTTATTATAACAGGTTGCAGAAAAAAACAGTGATTCAAGCATAAAAATTAATATGCAAATAAATTCAGCAGACATGGATGTACATGTGAAAGAGTTGTGCAGAAGTAATAGAGAGGAATAAAAATACCTATTGGAGTCTCTCTGACGGAGCTTCAAAACAGTAAGTTTTCCTCTTTTCTGTTTTCTCTCTTGCTGAGTTTTTTTTTGTGTCTTGGAATTTTTCTGTTGTTTCCTCTTGAATATTTTTTCTCTCCCTTATTCCTGTCTATGAAGGGGCTTTTTATAGTGAACGAATAAAGCATTTAGAGGAAAAAACAATAGGGTATGTGAACTGTTTTCACAAACCGTTTTGATGCTTTGTTCATACAATTTTTCTTTAGCCATATTGATGCAATTTCTGGGTTGTTTTGATGCAGGGCAGCAGGTTGTACAAATTAGTTTATAGCAGATTTTGAGCAGTTTTTTCAGCAGGTTTTGGACTATTTTATAGGCTATTTTTATAGCAGATTTTAGGACTATTTTGTTGTATTTTTTGCAACTGTTTTGCTGTATTTTTTGGGAATGTTTTGCTGTATTCATTGGTACTGTTTTGCTGTATTTTTTGGACAGCAAAATACCACAAAAATTGGACTTATTGCATTGCAACAAGGCTGGAAAATATGCGCAGCAACATGATATTGGGTTGGAATTTAGGACACTAGAAATAATAGTTTGTACAACATGTAATTCCTTGTAACTATGTAATAATAAATCCAAATAAAATTGTAACATGAATAGAAATTTGTCCTCAATATAATTCTATCAATTCTTTTGTAAACACTTTGAATCTTTATTCATCTTGATGAAATTCAAAATCTTCCACTTGGATTTGGAAAAGAATGATTGATATTTGAATGAATTGTTGAATGATGAAGAAATAATAATGCGAGCCTTAAGACTTCAATCTTGCATTTTGTGATAGAGATCCAAATAAATTCCATGAATTGATCTTGTAATAAAATTGTAACCATCATGTATTTATTCTTGTGATGAATGATTATTTGAGTCAAGTTTCCTTTTCCAATACCTTCTTGAATAAATGTCTCATGTGAATTCAAATGACCATAGTGTGAATCCATCAAAATAATCACACAAAAATAATCTTGAATAAATGTTTAATGTGATGAACAATTATTCTTGAATGAGCCTTTTTGATAACTTCTATTTAATTAACACTTGAATTCACCTGATAAAAAATCAAGTATTCCAAATAAATTCTTCCAAAGAGATCTTGAATTTAATCACCCACTCTAACGAAATTCACCCCGCGTCATATAAATATAAGAAATTGAACCATTCTTAAAAGCTTCGAATGATCACTAGAAGAGGGATTTGAGGAGAAATGTTATCGCGTTGAGAAATTGGCACAGTGAACTGAAATTAGGGATCGATAAATCCTTAAATCATGACAGACGTCTCATAAAGACTTTTTGTGGCTTTCTAAACACAATTAGTCTTCAACTTTTAAAGAAAACTTGCAGATGATTTTTGGTCGAAGCGTTCAAAATTGACTTGCATAGCTTGATCTTTCTTATATTTCAAGGCAAGACGAAACACACGTAAACCAGTGGTCATGTAACCTTGATTGTTTCTTTGAGGAAGTTCGGAGACGCTTGAGGCCACTTGTTGAAACAGAGCATTGAAATAAACACACGATTCTCTGAAAGTTCCCTTGATGAATCAGTCTTCGAGAATCAACGATCCATCATACTTCTGGCTTGAGAGACTCCAAACCCTGATTGAGGCGTGATGCCTGATACTCTTGATTTAGACCTGTTTCTGCACGTGAAATCAAAGAAACAAAAAAAATACACTTTGTGCTTGATTAGAAGTTAGTCGTGCATAAGATGAAATGCTCATAACACTCGATAATCTCTACACAGGAAATGCTCGAAGGTGAAACGTTCGAAACCGACCATATTTCTTAGGTCAAAAATTAGGGTATGACAGCTGCCCCTATTTAAGTTTCTTTTATCCGGAGATATGAAGATTGAAATCTTCGTCTTGACGAGATTGAAGGTACTTAAATACAGAATATGCAATTTTTGGCCCTAAGATACCACCATTGTTTTTATGATATGAATGTAATATTTGAATCTTATGGAGAATGATTCCGCATGAGACAAAATAATGTTGAAGAAACCAAACATATGCTAAAATAATCCATAGGGGAAGAGGTTATAACTCTACTAAGGAAACATAGCCACATACTTCGAATGAGATACTCTTATTGGGGAATAACTTCGAAAGAAAACAATTTTCTAACTCTAACAAAGAAAACGCCTTGCATAGGCTACGAAAATAGATGACTACTAACCCAAGATGATGGTGAGTTTACAACTCAGGTCAAAGGTAGGCAAAAGATATACCAACTTTTACTGATAGTGAACAACCAATTTTTACTGAAGGTAGAGATTTCATAACAAACTTCTCTGCGGGAATTTTCCTGAGAGATACCATTTGCTGCTTAAATAACACAAGCTGCTCAAATAAAGAGGCCGCCACTTGCTGTATTCAAAGGATATTAATAAAAACACAAGCTGCTCAAATAAAAAGGCCTCCACTTGCTGCCTTCAAAGGATATTAATAAACACACAAGCTACTCAAATAAAGAGGCCTCCACTTGTTGTCTTCAATGGATATCAATAACACGTAAGCTTCTCAAATAAAGAGGTCGCCACTTGCTATTTTCCAAAGATATCTGTAACACACAAGCTGATCATGAAGAGGCTGCCACTTGTTGTCTTCCAAAGATGTCTATAACACACAAGTTGCTCATGAAGAGACTGTCGGTTGCTGTTTCCCAAAGATATCTATAACATATAAGCTGCTCATGAAGAGACTATCGCTTGCTGTCTTCTAAAGATATCTATAACATACAAGCTGCTCATGAAGAGACCACTGCTCGATGTCTTCCAAAGATATCTATAACATACAAGCTACTCATGAAGAGACCTCTGCTTGCTATTTTCCAAAGATATCTATAACACACAAGTTGCTCATGAAGAGACCGCCACTTGTTGTTTTCCAAAGATGTCTATAACATACAAGATGCTCATGAAGAGACCTCCACTTGTTGTTACGTCGATATTCCAGAAGAATGTTATGATAACACTACTAGGGAATACATTTCTTCTTCAAAGGGAACCATGAAGAGGTCCTTCCCGAGGAGACCAAGTATTTAAAATGCGCAGAATAAATGCGTTCTTCATCTAGGTTTCACAGCATAGAGAAAACCACATGATAGCCTATGCAAGAGACAAAGCCCAATCCAGGAATAAACCGGAGAGAAAGCTATCAAAAAAGACTCCACCCAATGATGAAACAACTCAATTAGGGATTTATCCTATCCAAAGATGGAAAAGGAAGTCTAAAGCAAGATTCTTCCATGAGGATTAGCTAAGTTAGGGAATTAGAAAGGAGGAATACTTTCTTCTTAAGTTGACATTCTATTTGGAAAGAGAAAATACGTTATTCGAATAGACATAACCAAGGTATATGAACCCAATAAAAACGAAAAATACGAACGTACGTGCATGATGCAAGTGTAAATGAATAAATGAATGTCATATATATGTTGACGAAACAGATAGAGGAAATAAATTGAAGATGATGAGACATCACAAAACAACTAGATACTCGGCCAATATCAAAGATATGGGAAAAAACTAGAGATAGACAAAAAAGGAACATCAGAGTGTATCCTACTACAAGGCTCAAGTCTCTCCGGGGAGGAAGATTTTCAAAATTCAATCTTCTAACATCAATAAACCACTGACATGATAATAAAAGGTACTTCACTTTAGTTAGGGAGAAAAATCCCGCTCAACTAGAGATAACTGAATCAAGGCTTAACCAGGATTACTGGGGAGTCATCAAGCTTAGAACTCTAATGGGAACACAATATCACACAACCAACACCTCAAGATGACTTTGAAAGAAGAAACCATTATTCATCATGCAAGGATGAACTACTGTATTATTTTTCATTTCAAAGCTTAACCATTCTCGGGGCAACTGTTAATATTCTTTTCAGTATTCATGACACATTTCAAGATAGGAATAC